CGAAGGACCCTGATTAAAAACCTTCAGGGTGGCTGCTGGGGGCGCTGGGTGGGCAGGGGCACAGCCAAACTCGGGACATGGCTCAGGCGTTCCTGCACTCAGAGGGGAACGGTGCAGGGAAGGGAGACCGGATGACAATATTCTCAATGAGAACAGGAAAGCATTGAAGAATAAAACAAAAATATCCTCTGTGCGTGAGCACGTTCTACATGAGCTCCGAATTCAAAGGCATTTCTAAACCCACGCATGACCCTGCACTGAGGAAGTAGGCGTCTGACGCTGAAAATGACACCCCGCACGCGCACATCTCACGAAGGGCCATAAAGGCTGGCAAGGCTTCCACCGGGAAACGGAGTCTTGGTGACACAGGCACAAGGAAAAAGAAGGAAATTGCACCCCTGCCTCCCCTCCCAGTCCTTCTCTGCCAGCTATAAGTAGAATTCTCTCAGCTCCAAGCTTCTAGTTCTGAACAAGAATACATAAATTGCAGGATTAGAAATGGGAGACGTAAGCACTTGTCCACACCTGTCATCTTTGGGGACCCATTAAATACCCATTATCCCTCATTTTCCCAACTTTACAGAAAATCCGCAAAGTGCCATCATGTCATACCCTCGTGCTCATCTGGAGTTAAGGCAGACCGCTCAGATCGACCGCATCGGTGTAAAGTCCTAAGAACAGAGCCACAAACGTAAGGATGCCGAATGCCTCCGGATTCACTGGTCAGGAAATGCATACACAGGGTCACGCTGCAGAAACAATACTGACATGGGATAGAACATCTCTCTTTGGAAATCACTCGTGTCCATGTTCATACTCTCAAAGGGACCCCAGAGAGGGAGACTTCAGACCCTCACCCCACATACGAGGAAGCCAGGGGCTTAAAGGGATCTCATCTAATAGCAGGACTGCACGTTTTGGGGGGGGGTTCTTAATTAAAAGAGAAGCATAGGAGATGGGCTCTAATGTCATTTTTCAATTAGTAAGAGTTCGCTCATGAAAAAAGACACAATCCTCCAGCTTCGAAAATGGATTTTTGTGCAATATATTAATACTGTAGGGAACACGTCCCCATTGCACAGTTAACAGAGACCAAGGAAGCAAGGACACACTGAAGGAAAGGCAAACATGCAGAGGCTAGTAGGGGCACTGGAGAAATGGACTGATCATCCTTGCCAGCCCGAAAGAATCCTTAAAAGGGATCAATTCAGCCTTATGTTGGGTCACAGGGATCTGGACTAGCAAGATCTGGTTTTCCAGCTGCCACTCTGCTCTCATCCCTTACCAATCTCCCCTTTGCTCCCCGTGCTAGGGACTCACTAGCCTTTCTATACCCTAATCACAGCACCACACGCCTCAACCACAGGCCATCTGCACTTCTTAATCCCTCTGTCTGAGACACTCTTGCTCTGAATAGCTATGTAATTCAATCCTATACTTCCTTCAAATCAACTCAAATGTCACTGCCCAGAGGGGCCTTTCTCTACCTCCCCCTACATTAGCAGCACAGTAAAAAGAGGGGGTGAGCATCAGTTCAGACAGCGTAGGGCTGTGCACAGTCGGGATCTACTCCAAACTGCCCATTGTGAACGGAATCAAGAACAGATATGGATGCACATATCCAAGGGCCATCCTAGCAGTTTAAGGGTTGATATCTTACAAAAGCTAAAACCCAAACAAGGGCCCAGTCTCAGCATTATGGGAAGACCCTGGGCGTTTCTGACCCGGCTGCCCAGCAGAGAAAGGTTCCCTCTTCCTGGAACATATAAGATTTCAGACACTCTGGTGTTTGGCTGCTAAAAGAAAGTGGAGTCTGCCCAGCTTCTACCGGAGACGTGGAAGCCAGGACAGCTTTGAAAAGGGTATTCCAGCCTCTGATGTCCTGTGCCTTCCCTTGAGAAGCTCTTGCCCTCTGAGCTCATTCAAGGAGAAGACAGCACCGGCCTCCTGCCCTCGGGAGTGAGCTCTGGGGAGGGAGCCCTGGAGAAGGGAGCAATAATAGAAAAGGCAGAGCCGGCTCTGGGATTGTCCAGTGATAATACAAAGGGGCAAAGAAGGAAATAGCTTCTGTTCTATGAGGACCCACCTCCTAGCTGACTCAGAGCGGAAAGGCAAGTTCGATACCCCTGTGTGCTCCTCCACCAGCCACTTCCTTCTTGGGCCCCCACATGGGATGGGTTGGCTTTTTCCGACTAAATGAGCAAGAATTAGACAACCCGTATAACGGCACCTTTTCCCAGAAAGCTTTCCTAATGCGCCGGAGAAAGATACCAGACTTTATGGTTCTAGAACTCAGGTGAACATGCCAGGAGGGCCCCAGCTGCTGAACCCAGGCAGTCTGGAGAGGTTCTGATGAGTTAACCTCTGTGGAGGTGTTTCCTCAGCTCTCAAAGAATTTTGCTATTTCAAGAGTTAAATGAGACGATATGTGGGAAACACTCAGTACAAGGCCTGGCACAAAGTGGGTATTCAGAAAGTGCTAAATTTGAACAAATCATGATGATGATTTAAAAAAGGAAATGTCAAAATTAGAACCCAAATCTAACTATCGGAGCTTTCTAGAAAGATGCAAATTGTGGAAATCACTTAAACCCCATTTAATACTAGAAAATAGACGTTTCGTAATAATTCCTGATTTTAGTGATTCACATACTCTCTGTTGAAGAAATTAATAGGGGCGCCTGGGTGGCTCAGTCAGTTGAGCGTCTGACTACTGATCTCAGCTCAGGTCATGATCTCAGAGTCCTGGGATCGAGCCCCACGTCGAGCCCTGTGCTTACCAAGACGTCTGCTTGGGTCTCCCTCTGCCCCTTCCCCCACTCACACTCTCACTCTCTCTCAAATAAATAAATCTTTTTTAGAACATTAATAATGGTTTCTTGATTTTAAAGCAGCTTTTTATTCTTTTAAAAAAAAAAAAAGGGGGTTCTGGAATGGGAACGTGTGTTTTCAGTGTCCAGGACAGCCATTCAAGCTGTATGACGCTGAGAACATTTCCTGACCCCGCAAGAACTCAGAATCTGGGGCGCCTGGGTGGCTCAGTTGGTTAAGCATCTGCCTTCAGCTCAGGTCATGATCCCAGGGTCGTGGGATCGAGCCCCACATTGGGCTCTCTGCTCAGCAGGGAGCCTGCTTCTCCCTCTCCCTTTGCCTGCCACTCCCCCTGCTTGTGCTTTCTCTCTCTCTCTCTCTGCCAAATAAAAAAATAAAATCTTAAAAAAAAAAACAAAACTCAAAATCTCCATCTGTAAAACAAAGGCAATAGTCGTACTGATTACACAAGGTTTTGAGATAATTAAACAGATTGATACATGTAAAAAACCTTAGAACAGCGTTAGGTAGTATCACTACTCTTATCGTGCATTGTGACAATTTTGATCATTAATGCAACTTTATGTGACGCTACAGTGTCTGCAAGGCTTCTGTGCGTGTTATCACTGGGAGGGCTCAGTGGACGACACGTGAACAGCATTTAACCCGGCTCCTGGCACAGCACACAGAGCTAAATAGAAGTGGTATCTCCGCACACTGTTCTCAGGGATATGACCAATAAGACTCGGTCTAAAAAAAGAGCCTGGGTGGCTCAGTGGGTTAAGCCTCTGCCTTCAGCTCGGGTCATGATCTCAGGGTCCTGGGATCGAGCCCCGCGTCGGGCTCTCTGCTCAGCAAGAGCCTGCCTGCCTCTCTGCCTACTTGTGATCTCTCTCTATCAAATAAACAAATAAAATATTTTTAAAAAAAGAGGTGGAACCAAAATTTCTACACGCAAACCAACAGAACACATGCAATAATGATGAGTGTGTGAATAGTGTGAAAAGGTCGCCTGAGTCATTATTAAGAGCGATAAATCACAACCTGGAATTGATAACCAATGGCAACTCGTAAGGGTATATAATGGCTTAAAGTAAGATAATTACAAATAAGTGAGAGGGGAAATCCCCACACAACCTACTGTCCGTGAAAGGAAATGCAAGGGGATAGAATACTGAAGATGTGATGGCCTCCTTTTTTTTTTTCTCTTAAGAGTGTGTTGATTTATTGAGAGAAAGAGAGCATGAGCACAGGGAAAAGGCGGAGAGAAAGAATCTCAAGCAGACTCCATGCAGAGCGCGGAGCCCAAAGCAGGGTTCAATCTCACGACCCCAAGACCACAACCCGAGCTGAAATCAAGCGCTCAACCCACTGAGCCACCCAGGAGCCCCCAACATGGCAGTTTCTAAATGCCCCCGCATGCCAAAGCAAGGCAGCCCATCATCCACTGGCCCCAGCACCCCAACAAGAAGGCCAGGCGGAGAAGGGATATACTGTGGTCCCCAAGAGGTGCCTCTCCTACTGCGAACCCTAGCATTTCTAAACTTCCTTCTGATGCCTCAGCTGATGGAGCAAAAGGGCAAACCGGAAAGAGGGAAGAAACTGGCTAGAGTCTGGGTACCACAGTTCTCTCTTCATTTTCAGGATAAGCCAATTTCACAAAGTAAGCGTTCCAGGCGGTGATGGAAGGGAAACCCAGGCCATTACTGCCTGCCGCTAACACCACCTCGGCGACCACCAAAATGGGGGGCGGGCGGGGGCGGCAGGTAGGAAGAGGGAGTCATTTTATTACCCACCAGCCTCAAAGCATTTTGGCAACCTGAAGATTAAGATGCTCTGACAGACAGGCCTGGAATCCAATGGCTAGAGCGCCTGGCCCCTTCCCAGGTCCCCGCCACTCACCCGCTTACACAAAACGGCGCCAGCCCGGGCCGTGCTGTGGCTCGTGGCCCACGTGCTGTATTCCCTTACAAGCCAGGCACTAGGAGGGCAGCCCACCCAACTGCTTAAAGAACCAGATGACAGTACAGCTCGTTAGGACACCAGGTGACACCCGATTGCAAAGAAATTTCCACTTCTTTCTGGGCCATCGTTTACTAGCTTAGATGGAGTTATACTTTTTGCATATATTTGGTCAAATTGGAAGACGGCTGAAAAGTCAATGTAAGGGTGGCTGGGGGAGGGGAGAGTGGAAGTGCCCACATCCATCCCATATTGGTGAAGTTCACATCTCTCTGCTTGATCATTCATTACTTCAGCAGATATTAACCAAATGCTCCGTGGCCTCAACCCTGCAGTGGGTGCTGTGAACAGAGACAAGCAAATGCACACCTTCAACAATGCGTTATTTAAAAACAGTGAATGGTTTATCCCCAATTCCACTCCGTAAAGGCACATCCTGAAAGTATGCTTAAGAAGGAAGGTGTGAACTTCCCAGCCCACCTCCAAGCGTATGCCATCTTCCTGGACATGTACCTCTCTGATGCTAAACCTGATTTTGGGCTAAGCGATTCTCATACAGCATAATGCCTGAGGGCACTACCTTCCTTGCAGGCAACAGAGGACTGTCCTTGGGTAAGATGCCACCGCACACAAGCTGGCATCCCAGGCTGCTTTAGAATTAAGTTGCTTGTCCTTCAACACAGTGATTTCAAGGGTTTGGTGTCAGAATAGGGACAAATGCAAAGGAGGCCCCAGGAGAAGGGCAACTGACCTGGCCAAGGAGAGGCGAGGAAGATGCTCATGGGGAGGGCACAGGGTGACCCTACTCGAGCACGACACCCCAGGTTAGTGCTAGAAAATGATGATGAGGTTGCCAGACAAAGAAATCACACTGCTTTATGCTAAGAAAACCATCTCCTGAAGTCTGAGCCAAAAGCCCATGTTTCTGTTTCCCATGTAGGACACCTCTTTCCACAGGGATTCACATTAGTTGTTCAGCCCAAACCAAAAGTCCTGCGTGGACTCTCTGACCAACAAGGGTTGGTACTAGAAGTTTCTGATCCAGTACACTACGTTTCTCCTGGCTTTTAAACCTCCAGTCCTAATGCTAAAACTGCTTCCTTTCTTTAGGTCCGTAGCTTAAATGGCAAAGGATAAGGGGAAAGTCTGCTGGTTGCGTAAAACACAAGGTAAAGAAAGTCTCTGGATGGGGAAGCACAGCATCAGATCATGGGGTCCAGAAGCTTGGGCCTCTTCCGATGAACCTTGGACCAGAAATGCAGCCCCATAGTAGGCACTCCGAGAAGGAATTTGGTGTTTAAATTGTCACGTGACTGGCAAAACTATCCCACGTATTTTTTTTTTTAAGGCCAAGTGCAACACTTTTCGAAATGAAAATCAAATGAAACCCAGGATCTGTCCCAGAACAAGAGTTTAGGTTTTGATCTTCCCCAAAAGGAATTGGGGGAGGGGGTATAAGAAGGCTGAGCCGCTGGTGTTACAGCTCCTTTTATCCAAAACAGAAAGCAGCTTCTTCCATCAACTCCCAGAAGAGAAATAAAGCTGTTTTAGTGCAGGTCTCCAAGCACCCAGTGCTTCTGCTCCCCTCTGCAAACAAACTAAATATATCTGATACCCAGGCCCACCCTTGAAAGGAGAAACGTCAGCTAGCTAGCCAGCTCCCCTGGGCTGCAGTGAGCTCTCTCCACTGCCTGCCTGCCTTCTTTCTAAATAATCTGGAAAATTTTCCTGCTTCTGGAAGGAGCCCTACTGCGAAACTCCAGAAAAAAGAAAACAAGTCAGAGACTGGATCCTTTTGAAGTGATCACTGATGGTGCGCTGTTGGGACCCCTTCTAACTCTCTCCCAAGAACCTTCTCTTTGAAAAGATGGGTACAGCCTAATGTCCTTCAAGGAGTGTTTGTTTAAATAAGTGTAGTATATCCACACCATTAAACATCCCTCAGTAATATCGCCTAGCAATCCTAGGGATCTAGGATACATGAACAACTGGGGGTTTCTGCTGAGTGAAAAAAAAAACAACCTCAAGGACTGCAGAAATGATTCCACGTTCATAACATTCTTCCAATGACAGCACGACCCAGATGTAAGTCACATCAGTGACAGCCTGAGGTTGGGGGCAGGGAAGGGGGGGCCACAGCAGGGCAAGCAGGAGAGATCCAGGAGGTAGAAGCCATTCTATACCTTGACTGTGGGGCAGTCACATGAAACCTACCCACGAGATGAAACAACAAAGACAAAATACACACAGATACAAAGGAATGCACGCAAACCTGCAGTAGTCTGCTGGCGGACTGGATCCATGTCAATTTCCAGACTGTGGTAACATACTACAGTTACCCACAATGTTATCCCTGAGACCCGGTGTCCATCTGTAGTATTTCTTACATGTGCATGGGAATATACAATTACCTCAAAATTAAGTTTAAAAAGAAAAAGAGAGAGGGCAGTTTTGAAAGACAATACGGGCCAGCTTCATTCACACTCTGCACAACGCCCTGGCCACTATTTTTTTTTTTAATTTTTTATTTATTTTTTTGACAGACACAGATCACAGATAGGCAGAGAGGCAGGCAGAGAGAGAGGAAGGGAAGCAGGCTCCCTGTCGAGCAGAGAGCCCGATGCGGGGCTCGATCCCAGGACCCTGGGATCATGACCTGAGCCGAAGGCAGAGGCTTAACCCACTGAGCCACTCAGGCGCCCCTTGTGCATGTTTTTTTTAGATTTTATCTACTCATTTGACAGACAGAGATCACAAGCAGACAGAGAGGCAGGCAGAGAGAGAGGAGGAAGCAGGTTCCCCACTGAGCAGAGAGCCCAATGTGGGGCTCGATCCCAGGACCCTGGGATCATGACCTGAGCCGAAGGCAGAGGCTTAACCTACTGAGCCACCCAGATGCCCTTGGTCACTATTTATTAAAGGTATCCGGGACCCTCCCTCAGACTCCAGATGCCGCCTCTCCTGTCACGCACAAGATGGAAGCTTCTGGGACAGCCACACCTTTTCAAGGGATCTTGTTAAGCGTCTAGCTGCACATGAGAATTAATCCACCACTGCCCACAACACGAGTGTCACTCAGAGAGCCAAAGACCTATCCTAAACAGTACTTTTAGACAAGGAAAATGTGCCATTACTTATATAAACCACACCTATGGAGGGAACTCTATGCGTCTGCCTGAGCCATGAACCTTGGGCAGCCCCCTGGCCTTTCTTTTACTTCCCTTTGCATATCTATCTTAATTTTCAGGCATGTGCTTGTTTGCAACCTAAAAAGAAAAAAAAAAAACCCACAAATGCTGACTTTTGATACATGCACACACATCAGGCTAGCTCTAATTGTATAAGCACACCCTTCTCCCAAACATACCTATAATTTTCCCCAAGTGTCCTATAAATTTCAACCCATTAAATAAAATGATTTCCTACTGTCCTCCTGGATGTTACTAACCCTCACCCCCACCAGTGACATCACTGTTTCCATAGTAACTAATGTACTTCAAAGTGGAAAATGCAGATGGTGGCTTTAAAAAAAAAAAAAAAGGCAGACAAAATAAGTGATAGAAACTAAGCATATCCCAGCATAAGTGGTGATGTATAATGTACCTGCATTACGTGGCTCCAGCTCAGGGACAAGCAATAAATATTTTAGTAGAGCCCTTATGCTAACAGCAATTCTGTGTTAACAGCAGCCCTATCGAATTTCATGATTGCCCGGGACACGTGGCTGCCCAACTCACTGCATGTGGGTAAAAGCCTGTGTTCAACGGCACAGGTACGCGTCACAGGCAGATTTTCCAAACAAAGTCACGTATCCTACACTATACTTACGCGGTAATTATGCCTAACTGAGAACAGCTATTTCAGGAAGAAAGAACACAACTGTTCACGAGAGAAACAGAACACACTAATGAGGAAGAGTCTCAATTCTTACTTCCTAAAGGTAAGAAAAAAATGATAAAATCTCCATGCAATGTAACATTTCTCTCCTTCCGGTGAAGCGTGGGTCCCTTTTTAGTGATGACACGTTATTTCTTCGTCTGGGGGGTGGTGAATGAGGGTTTTTCTGGACATGAAAACCCACATTCTGAGCGGTAAGGAAGGCGGCGAGAAGGTGACAATTCTGGATGCTTTGACACAAAACTAGAGTCTGGTTTTAAAACATAACCGAGTGTTTGATCTGCCCCTGTCAAAATGTCATTCTGAACACTTAACATTTAACAGATTCAACAGAAGCGTCAAGAAGTTCCATCATTTCATCTCTGAACTGTGGAAGCCGATATATAGAAGACCAGGAGGTAAAACCGTGTCCTACAAACACCCAGTGAGCTGCTTTCTTCCTATCCCTCTGGCTTACGACCCAGGACTAGGAGTCGTGCAGCCGATTGAAAAGGCCCAAACCCGTACCCTGCTTAAGATCTCACATGACGCAGGTTTGATTTCTGGGCTGCTAGATTGTGCCCCATTTTCTCAGCACAGTTTTCTGTGTTTCAGTCAAGCTCTGCGACAGGACAGTCTCTGTATGACCCTGTCACCTCAGGCATAGAGGATGGGGAGGTGGCCCAGCCACACGCCTTCCTCCCCAACTTATAGCTGCAAAATCAGACATGACTATGGGTCTCCGGTTCCTCTAAGGCTCACTGAGCTACCCTCGTCCTGAAGCACCTCTTTCCAAAGGTCCCACCACTTTTTGCAAAACCCTAAAATGACTCCTTCTTGCCTACTAGACTGAGTCTAGAATTCCAGGCCTTTCCTGACCTAACTGCCACCTCCATCGAGTGAGGCTCCCATCTTTCCCCTGTCTGCCTTGGCCGGAGCCCTACCCTCAGATATCACCCCTCCTCTTCCCACAGCACATCTTCCCCTTTGCTGATGACCCTGCCTTTTCTGTGGGGTCCACCCCAATGTCCTCCTCCTCCCGGGCCCCACGAAGGGACCTTTCACATTCAGCCACATGTACTCACTCTGCCAAGAATCTCAGCCATTGCTCTGCTGTCATTTGCAAAGGTTTTGCGAAAAGCACGGCCACGGCCCTCGGAGCGGAGATTTCTGTGCATATTGGTAAATGTCCTGTCCCCAGCCCTAGAAGAGGACCTGGCAAATCACAGACACTCAATGAACTGGTCTTGATGAATATGGTCGGTGTCACAGAATACAAGTATCCTCAATTTCTGAAGGGAAAGAGAAGGAGAAGACACCAGGGCTTGGTTATCAAAATTTAAAAATATATACAAGGAGAAATGCCATCGTCGCTTTCAGAGGCTTCATGCCAAATTAATTAAAAATGTTAAATAAGTGATTTAAGTGGTTAGGAGATAGGACAACATAGAAGAAAAGATTCTTCCACATCAGAATTAAATTTCATGCCTCAGATCAATAAAAACTATCTGAAAGACCAGGAAATAAATCAAGTAATATAAACCACACGCAAGAGAAAATGACTTGAGGAAAGTGGTGTGTTGCCATCCAAATGCAGAAGTGGCTTATGGAAATGAGGTTTCTCATTCAGTGGCGTTGAATCAGTTCCATTTGGGTCAAACAGCAGGACCCCAAATGTATTGGCAGAAGCACAATATCTACAATTAGCAGTTCTAGGGTTCCAGGGCCAGGAATACGAAGAGAGGGAAGGCCTCACCCCCCTCCACCACAGATGAGAACCACACAGGGTTTGCCGTAGGTGGGAGTGGGGGGGTGGTACAAAGGAACTCCCCAGGGGTCATCTAGAAGATGTCATGCAAAACATAAGCACACCTACTCAACTGACTGGCTCGGAGGCAAGACCCCAAGGACAGGAACCTCCAATGTGGGAGCTTCAGGACCCCCAGATGTTACCCAGCTACGAGAACACTTGTGAGCACCTAGGTGGTCTGCCTAAGGTCAGTAGGAGAGACCTGCCCAGAGGAAGGAGTCAGCCTTGGGCTCTGGGTAAAAAGACTACAGAGATGGGAACTGGCATCCCTGGGAGCGAGAGCTGAAGGTAGGAATTCACCAGAAGCACCATCTTCTCTGGGGAGCCAAGACCCAACCATTAAAAACCACAGCTCTCAGAACTCTAGGATTCCAGGGCAGGGGTCTCTCCGCTTTTTCTGCAAGAGCCCAGATAATAAGTGTTTTTAGGCTTCTGCAGGCTCTGTGGTCCCTGTCACAACTACTCAGCTCTGCTGTCGTCATGCCAAAGTGGTCGTAAACAGGGATCCATAAATGAACCAGCATGGTTGTGTTCCAGTACAGCATGATGTAAAAAAAACAGCCCACAAGGAGGATCTGGCCCACAGAATGTCACTGTCTAGAGCAGGTCCTTGCTCTAGAACTTGCGTCACTGCTCTCTATTTCCTCCAGATTTGCCGACTACGGCAGTGAGTTTCTCCACAGGGCATTACAACAGAGCCCTCAAGGCAAAAAGCCCGAGGAAGTGTCTTCAGGGACCCATGGAAGGGGTGACAGCAAAGAGGCTG